TGTTGTTCAGCAACGTCACTATACTGTGTGGAGTATGCAATATGATTGTTTGTGCTCCTATCAAATTTTCCACAGCATCCACTGCCCATGTGGCACCATCGAGAGCTTGTATACATCGTGGTTGACCAATCATTGTAACAGGAATCTTTGTGGAAAAGTATCCAACTGGTTTGTATCGATCACCTGGTTTTTGACACAGTACTGCTGAGTACGTCTCATCTCCCACCCTGGTCCACAAATGAAACGGCAATCGTCCATCAGGAAGTCCCAAGGCTGGGGCTGAAGTCAGTTTTTCTTTCATTGAAGTAAATGCTTCCTCAGCTTCCGGTGTCCAGTTTATCTGTTCCATTCCAGGCTTTCCTCCCTTGTACAAGTCAATGAGGGGGCTGGTGATGCTGGCAAAATCAGGAATATACTGACGACAATAGTTGAAAAGTCCCATCACTTTCCTCATTCCTGTAACTGTTAGAGGTTTTGGAAGTTGCCGTAATGCCTCCACACGCTCTGTTGTCAGTCTCCTTCCCTCGACAGATATTTCTTGGCCCAAGTAGATAACCTTGGTTTTGGCCAGCTGTGCTTTGTCGGGGTTGACTTTGAATCCTCCTTTCTTAAGGGCTTGTAGGACAATATTCAGAGCAAATATGTGGCTGTTTTCATCTGGGCTTGCAATTAACAAGTCATCCACGTATTGGAGGCAAACACTTCCTGAACTCTCAATTTCAGCTTTTTGCTCCGTTAAGAACTGATCCAAAGTTCTGTGAAATACCACAGGAGAAATATTAAGTCCTTGTGGGAGTCTGTTCCAGACATACTGTTTTGCACCCACTGTGAAGGCAAGTTTCTCTTGAGATTTTTCGTCAATAGGTATAGACCAGAAAGCAGACAGTACATCTAGTACTGTGAAAATTCTTGCATTTCCTGGAATATCATTCAGAATGGTGGCAGGATTGGCCACAATAGGATGCGGTTTTGGTGTTACACTGTTGAGTCTTGTGTAATCAATGGTTAATCTCCATGAGTTATCCGATTTCTTGACAGGCCAGACAGGACTATTAGTGGTTGATGAAGTTTGTCTGATAATCCCTTCAGCTTCCAAGTCTGCCACTATCTCTTCCACGGCTCGTCTTGCTTCAGGTCGGATAGGGTATTGTTTATGAGGGGCATGTGTCGGCCCTTCAATAACAACAGGGTCAATGTTGGCTTTGCCACAATCAAATTTGTGTTTAGCCCAAACTTCTGGATGTAAACTGCACAGAAGACCCCACACACCGTCTTTGGTCCAGTCTCTGATAATTGGTTTTGCTGCACCAACTGAACTCAAATTACATGTGCGATCTTCGTGTGGTATTATCCCAGCTGTTGTAGCGATTTGACGACTGTCAGTGAAGATGATCATGTTCAACAATGGAAGTATGTCCATGCCAATGAGGCTTCCTTGTGAATTCGGTCCCACCCAGAAAGATGTCCATACGACTTCATCTTCATGTATTTGTAGTGGAACTTGGATACTTTTATGAAATGTTGTGATACCTCCTCCAACTCCTTCAACTTCCATAGTTTCATCTGTTGTAGGTAGGTTCAGATCTGTTATTGAAATTGAGGCTCCTGTGTCAACCAGGATATCACATGGGTGGCCCCCTATTAATGCATTGATGAAAAGGCGATTGTCTCTTTTCTTACTAATACAGGGGGCCGCTGATTCCTATTGCGGACGCATAATCCCCTCTATGAGTTGACGGACTTGTGCTTCCGTCCATGTCTTCCCTTGAGAGGTTTCATCACGATTTTTCGCAGTGACTTGTTTAAATGATGGACCTTGACCTTCTGCTCCACCACCTCTAGCCCAGCAGTCTTTTCTTGAGTGGCCACGCTTTCCACAATTGCCGCAAACAACAATCTTATTCTTTGTATCCATGTTGTATTGAGCTGTTGCCACTCCTTTTCGATTTGTCTTGTTTCCTTCTTCCTTGTTTGATCTCATCGCCATCTCTAGACGGCCAGCCCATTGCATAATTTGGTCATATGTTTCGCCTGGATTGACTCCAAGTGATAACGCTTGTTGGTATTTAGAGCTAAACCCATCCACAAGTGTGTCAGTGAATTGTACATCATCTCTGTCAGGTTGTTTCTTAGCGCAGAGAGCCCATCTCTCATAAGTGTTCCACTTACGCAGAGCATATTCGTCTGGAGATTCATCATCCTTTTGCTTAATCAATGTCACTGAAGTGAATGGAATTTTACCGCTTCCCAAGATTTCTTGGATTTCCTTTCGGAATACATCTAATGTTTGCCAAAGACCCAGGGGTCGTCCTTGGCCATCAACCCACAAGTCTACCCATTGGGCTGTTGTTATCGACGCTGGCAGGCGTTCCCATCGGTCTCTTGGGATTTTAGCTTTCACAATGGTGTGAATGTCTTTTAGTGTCATTTGATGTGCTTCAACCAGGGAGTCTAATTCTCGCCAAAACTCTGTGTTTGGATCTTGTCTCTTCAGAGGAGGCAAGGCTGAGAGAATGGCTTGTCGTTCTCCCGGAGTAAATGGTCTTTCTTCGGTCATCATCTCAGGTTGCGACTCTTCCCTTTTAATCACAGGTGAAGAAAATTCAGGACCGATTTTGTCAATTGTGATCACGTCATCATCTCTTGTCTCATCACCCCAGTCAGATCCATAATTATGAGCTGGTGTACATCTCATCATGTCTCTGCTTGGCTGGACTGATTTAGATCTTGTTATTATTGGAGCTGCTTGTGCAGATGCAATATACATTTTGTCAACTGGACCTCCGTTTGATCTTGAAGCTTGAGGCTGCGTCAGAGGTTTAGATGAACTTGTATATTGTTCAGGCAAAGGTGGATAAATTGGTTTGTAAGGTGGAGGCGTTACTGTTGTTGCAGATTTCACTGGTGCTTGTGAATATTTCCTTTCAGCTTCAGTTATTATATTTGTCCAATCTGGATCAAATAAATCATCACTGGTTGTGTTTTCCTTCTCTGGACATGTGATGGACATGATTTTGTTTAATTTGTGGTATGCTTCAAGCTGAGGCCTCATAACTTCAACAAGCGGTACCGGACCACCATTTAAGTCGCAACAAATTCCACCTTGTTTCACAATCCAATTAGCTGCTAAAATTGGAAATGCTTTTGATTTTATCTTGTCTTTTTGGGACTCGAACCAGCTTAACTGCTCATTCATAGATGCATTAATGTCCAGTCCTTTTTTCAAAAGTTTAGTTAGTTTCTTGTTCTTCTTCTTTTCAAGATACCATTCAGCTATTGTGCTGCTGGTACAGACACTTGCTGCCATCTTCAAGTGTTAAAAGTCTGTGCTCAGAACAGCAGGAATGTATGTGTGCCTATATGTGTGTGTGTGTGTGTTATACGGGGGGGGGCTATGTATGTGCGCCTATGTTCAGAAACTGCAGCCTATGTGATGCGTCTGTGTGTGTGCTCAGAGCTGCAGGCTGTCTGTATATGTATGTGTAAGTATGTGTGTGTGGGGCTCCCTGCCTCTCCCCCTCACCAACTGGATGTGTGTGTGTGAAGGTACAGGGCAATTCTGAAGGGAGGGGCTGCTTCGCTCTCTTTCTCCCTCACTCACAGAACAAAAGAAAAATTTAAAGAAAAGTTAACTCTAATGCTTTTCAGTATTTTAGTTTTCTTTTTAAAACTCAAAACAGTTCCTTTTTTTTTTTCTTCTCAAATACTTTAGATTTGATCTCAGATTAATTTCTTTGGTATTTATTTTTCCCTTAAAGTTAACTCGGATCAGTCTCCTCAAATATTTGAACAGCTTTACGGTCAGGTTCAGAATGCCCACGATCCTAGCTAGTTACAAGGGCGCCTTTTATACTTGTATAACTCTAGCGTGTTGCAATGTTTTAGGGATTACTCTGCCATCATTTTTAAAACAGTCCCGCCACATTTAACCGCTTTGGTCAATCAAGTATCGCTCGTGTTAAACTTCCCTCGTCTCCTACTGAGAACGAATCTTCGGTGTGCTGGATGTTTTAGGGATTACTCTGCCTTCTTTAAACAGTCCCGCCACTATCCAACCACGTCGCAGTTATAACCAAGCAAATTTTACCAGCTTAACCGTTTTACAGCTAATTCCAAATTTCTGACTAGATGGTCTTTTTTCTAAAAAAGATCCATCTCTATCCCAGCATTTCAAATATTGTTTGAGGTTTACTTTTCAGAGAACCTTAAATAAGCCTAATTCAATTTGATTATTTAATCTGATTAATTTTTATATAATTTTTCCTTATGTCCCATATTCATTGGCAAAACAACTGGTACTTAAAATAACACAGTTCTTTTCAGCATTTCAGTCACTGTCTCTAATCATCAGGCAGACTTAAAACTTTTTAGAAAGGAAAAAAAGTCTTACCTGTAATGATTGAGACGAATGCCTGGGTATGCGATCCTTTTCGTGTGACGCCAAAAATGTAGATTTAAAATCTTCGTTTCCCCTTGTTATTTAATTTAATGAAAAGACACCAGTCATTCTGCCAATATATGTTATTTATTTTACCAATTTATATAAGACATAAGGGAGAGAGAGTGGACCAGCAAAGATCGTCCTTCTGCTTCTCTGTATTTTTCCTCTCTCTGTCTCAAACAAAGAACTTACACAGTACATATACTAACATCTGCTCTCAATCAATCACCGAAATGTATATTCTGCTCCACGGAAAGAAACATAATACACTCAACTTCCCCCCAAGTCCCCCAAACTCTAAAAGTCTTCCACATACAGAATTCAGAAAAGTTTGATTCATAAAAATGTAGATTATAAATGATTATGAATATATATGAAAAGTATAAAAAAATGTATATGAAAAGTGTAAATCACATGCATAATACTAATGATTATGATTGTTAATAAAAACAATAAAAAAACTAAAAACAACATTAAAATGATGAGATTGTGAATCTTCAGTTTGCTCAGACTGATGAGGCATTGTTTCTGTTTGTTTGCGTGCGTGTGATTGTCTAACCTCCTTGCAGTGTGTATTCAATGACAGACTGGCTGTACACCCCCAGGCCCGCTCCTGTGTAGGCAGCCACTTGGATCTCATACTGCGTCCAGATGATGAGCTCTCCAATCAGACAGTAATTAATCTCTGCACTGGTGATGTTCTTCAGCTGAAACTCGCCAGGCAAACCCGCCAATCTATACCTGAGTGGGAGGGGGAGAGAAAGAGAACGATGTTTTTTTTTGGAAGTTGATTGTGAACCTTTAACACAAACACGCGCACTCGTAATTTCAACTAGATTTTTGCATTGCATCTGTAGAAAATGAGAGTGGTGCTTCATTTCATTTCTTTAATTATGAAAGAAAAAAAAAAAGAAAAAAAAACAGTAGTGAAGCTTGCATTAGTAAGCACAGCTTATGCTGTACATATCATAGCATCTCCTATCGAGTGCAACAGTCGGGTTCCGGAAGTGAATTATTTTGAACGGTAACTTATAAACCTTTAAAGATAGACCTACTGTGAGAATTACTGAAGCCATCTGCTTGCATTATTTCAGCTTATTTTTTAAAAATAATTGTGTTTGAGAGTGGAATTCATGGTAAAAAAAAACAAAAAAAACTCTGTTTATCTTAAAGGAGTAGTTCACTTTAAAAAAAACTTTTGCTGATAATTTACTCACCCCCATGTCATCCAAGATGTCCATGTCATTCTTTCTTCAGTCGAAAAGAAATTAAGGTTTTTGATGAAAACATTCCAGGATTCTCCATATAATGGACTTTAATGGGAACCAAACGGTTCAAGGTCTAAAAGACAGTTTCAGTGCAAACTGTTCAAATGGCTTAAAACGATTCCAGACGATGAATAAGGGTCTTATCGAGCGAAACGATCGCTCATTTAAAAAAAAAAAAAAAAAAAAAAAACAAAGTTTAAGTTTAAGTTTTATAAGCTCAAATGGTCACCTTGCTCTGTTCTGTGATGGGCGTTCGTGACTCTCCTATTTGAACTCGTTCATCAAAATGAGCGAATCTTTTCCTGAGTCAACTCGTTCATTTCGTTCGTTGAATGAACTAAATGACACGAAAAAAGATTAGTTCATTTTATAAACAGGAGAGTCACAAACGCGCATCACAGAACAGAGCAAGGCAAGCATTTGAGCTTATAAAACTTAAACTTTTATTGAACTTCTATTAAACTGTTATATTTTTTTTTTAAATGAGCGATCGTTTCGCTTGATAAGACCCTTATTCATCGTCTGGAGTCATTTAAAGCCTTTTGAACAGTTTGTAGTTTGCACTGAAACTGTCTTTGGGACCTAGAACCGTTTGGTTCCCATTGAAGTCCATTATATGGAGAAAAATCCTGGAATGTTTTCATCAAAAACCTTAATTTATTTTCGACTGAAGAAAGAATGACATGGACATCTTGGATGACATGGGGGTGAGTAAATTATCAGCAATTTTTTTTTTTTAAAGTGAACCACCCCTTTAACCCTTCTATTTATCAAAACTATTATAAAAAATATCACAAAAATAAAAAAATAAAAAAAACACTGAAAATATATAAAAAAATGTTTCTTGAACACAAAGTCAGCCTATCAGAACAATTTCTGATAGATCATGCGACACTGAAGACTGGAGTAATGATGCCGGAAATCCGTTTTAAAATCTATTCAAATTGTAAAAAGTTATTTCGAATTGTCAAGTTTTACAATATTACTGTTGTAATGAAATAACCTTGGTGAGCATATGAGGCCTCTTTAAAAAAAAAAATCATTAAACCATTATGGCATTTCTTTCTTCGGATATTTTTAAGAATGTTGGTAACAAAAATGTTTCAACTCGCATTTATTCGTACGGTACTTTTTTGTCCATACAATGGAAGTCAATGGGAACTGAAACTGTTTAGTTACCAACACCAAGTGTTTTGTTACAAACAAAGTATCTTCTTTTACGTTCCCCACTAGTTTGGAGTGACATGAGTGTAAGTAAATGAAATGATACATTTTTGTGAGGACTATCCCTTTAAAATATACAGAAATAATACAATTTTGAAGCCATACCTGAGCACATAGCCTCTCAGGACTCCATTGAGCTGCGGTTCTGGGGGCGGCTGCCACTGGACCATGATGCTCTGATTGGTGCGGCCGCTCGCCACAATGTTTTTTGGAGGCGCACTGGGCGGTTCTTCTCGCAGCATCAGCCTGAGAGATAACATCATACAAAAAATCGCATTATAAAAGAGAAATATTTAGATCCTTATCTGAGAGTTTTCTCAGAGACATCAATAGTTGCTAAAAGTTTCCTTCAGAGCTTATCCAGTAGTCTTGGAGAGATTGAAATTGATCTTTCTGGTTTATCCAAAAGATCTAAAAAAGTGCAGGAGTAACTGAGATCTGACCCTGCTGGGGTAAACAGGGTTCACTGGAATAACCTGAACTTCCCTTGCTTCTCTAATTTGGCTACAAAGAGCTAAACAGGTGGAAATGTGACCCCTGAGAAACCATGGATGGCACTAACAAATCCCAAAATCTTCCCAACACCTCTTGTTTCCTGTGATGTGTGCGAAATTGAGAAAATTAAGCATGTTAACACGTGACAACATGCTATTTCAGCTCATATCATATCAAAATTATCTATCCGCAATTACAGTAGATGCTGTACAGTAGAAACAGAAAGATCTGTTTTAGCTTGACCCCATTAGTGTAAATCAGTGAACCCTTTAATTTCTCGATTTGATCAATACCGTGGGCTTTAGCTCTCAAAGTCTGTCTGCAGTATTCTAGAGACTGTAGATCCCCAGAGCAGGCGATAAACAATCCTTCGCTCTAATCTGCGGTTTAAAGGTTATTAGCTTGATTAAGTGAGCAAGGCCTAAAGTGCCTCAAGCAAGCAATCTCGTAGGAAAGTCGCTAAGTCTGATTGATGTGTTGCCAAATAAACAATAATCACCCGAAGCCAATTTAAAAGGCTTAGAAGCGGTTATTTTAGTCTATCACGTTGTTTCTTTCGCCGTACCAGAGGTGTGGGGTTGGGCATTATATTGTTAGTCATAATGGCATTAATTATTGTTTATAAGTGCTGAGTTTGCTCTTGTTAAATTCAAAACAAATTCAATAAAAAAGTTAGCTGGACATACTTCTAGATATGAAACACTCCTGAATGGAATAAGAAATACTTTTTAGTACATATTCTGGGTTATTATACTATTCCTTTGATGGTACTTTGCCAAAAAATGAATAAGAAGAATAAAAGAAATAGAGATTTAAATTTTTCATATAACTGATGATGATCCTGACATTAATTGGAAACGAGGCCAAAGCAGATAGGTGCTCAAATTTTAATAAGTGCCCTCTCCATCAATATTTGATTTTTTTTTGTGTGTTTCTGTTCATCTTCATCTTCTCACTCTCGCTCTCCTTCGTCGCTTCCTCTTGTTTTAACTGAGCATTTTAAATGAAAGATTCAGTTTGAAAGATACGTTTTAATTACATTTAAACAATGATTTGGAATATGCAAAACATACAGTAAAGGAAATTGTATTTGTAAATCAAAAACTTATTTTTAAAACCAGCTATTTATCTTTAAGTTAAAACTAAAATAACAATGAAACTTCTTTGTTTTTATAGCAAAATCACTGTTTTACACATCAGGGCGATTTGTAATCACATTTTTTTCTTTTGTCAAATCAACTTAAATAATTTAAGTAGTTCAGATAACATGATATTTTGAGTTTCTGGTGATTAAATCAATCTCCTTTATTGTATTAACTCAATTTTTCCATTTCAATGAGCTTAAAACTTTAAGGCAACCGGGTTACTTCATTGTTCAAAGTTAAACCAACAATATTTTTTACAGTGTGTCATTGTGGTAACAGAGTGAATAGTACACAATCAAGATTTGATAAATTACCCTAAATTGTACGATTTCCGTACAAATCCATTTTTTTTCAATGGATTCATGAGGTCAGTTAAATGTTAAAGGGATACTCCACTTTTTTTTTTTTTTTTTTGGAAATAGCCTCATTTTACAACTCCCCCAGAGTTAAACATTTGAGTTTTACCGTTTTCGAATCCATTCAGCCGATTTTCTGGTATTAAGAAGAATATAAGTAACCAGACAGTTTCTGAAGAAAATCTGAAAATTGTCTGAAAGCATTTGAAAATGGTGAAACTGTGAGTTGTAAAATTAGCCTATTTCCAAAAAAAGTGGAGTATCCCTTTAAAGGGTACTCTCCCTCATGTTGTTCCAAACCCATAAGACTTTCATTCATCTTCGGAAAATATTTTTAATGAAATCTGAGAGCTTTCTGTCCCTCCATTAACAACACAACTACCACTTTTACGCTTCAAAAATTCAAAAAGAGATTGTTAAACTAATCCTTGTGACTTGAGTGGTATAAATTGATCAGAAAAATTGAAATATGAACTAAAAATATTTGAATATTTGGATTATGTCTGTAGGGTTCAAAGTGAGCAAACTACACATTAATACCTGAAACAAAATGCCTTATTTTAGTATTAAGTATTTATTATATATCAGGACCAATCCAACCTGAGCAGTTGAGCATTTCACATATGAGTGCAGAGGGAGTCTTTGGCTCAACTGTTACCATTGAATATAAGCTGCCAATGTCAGTTAAATGGAGACTGGCTTCAAATGAAAGCTAAGAACTAGAAAACAGCATGACAAGCTTTTTCAACATGTCCTTGGTGATTGAGCAGGCCCTTCTTCCTGCCGTTAAGCAAAGAGTGCTTGGCATGTGCATTAGTGCTTGAAAAATAGCCATTTGAACTTTCCAGGACTTTTAAGCTCTTTGAGCGATTTGAATGCATTCATTGTGATGTGTGCCGATTTATGCGTGAATAAAAATCCACAAAACAAAACAGAGAGCATAAAACGCAGTAGCCTCTGTGTGTGCTCAAGTGTCCTTCCCTTCAGCCAAACTTGTATTTGACATTCTTTCACCGTGTGGAATTGGCTTTGAGAAATGCTATTTCTCACACCTTCATAGTATTCCTGGATATGGAAGGGTTGGTTTTTTTTTTTTTTTTTTTTGCCTATGTGTCATAATAGCTCACAATCAGAGGCAGTGATGAAAGCTCTCATGTAATTCAATTACAATCAGCCTTTCTTTGGCAGGGTTCAAATCTTGTCCTCACATTTAATAACATTCTCTCTAACTCACTGAGGATGTGTGTGCGCGTGTCGGACACACAAAAATGGCAGTAGTTGGTGAAAATTACCAGTTCCAATCTGCTTGACTGGCTATGTAAGTTACAACACTCAGGATTGAAAGGATTTTGGGATTGCCTGTAAATTGGGTTGCTACAATCAAGGAATCAGGGTTGAGCTCATTAGCATGGGCCTGTTACTGCTCCTGCAGTTCAATGCTATTGCCATGCAAGATCCGTTCCCCTTCCTCAATGCCTGATCAAAAACATTAATCTTGTTTTATCTATAATAGAGCTTTACTTAACCAGTTAGCGATATGCTAAGCATGTAGATTAAGATGTTAGCTTGTGACTGCTGTTTACCTGTTTGTCTCAGCGCTGTACTGTCCACGTCCCACCTGATTGACAGCACAAACCCTGAACTGGTACGTTCTTGCTGGCGTTAGACCAATTACTAGCAAACTGGCTAGTGTCGGGCTAACATCAGCCATGTAGACTTTCCATGGAGAATCTGTCAAGAACAACAAACAGACAAAATTAAAGGGATAGTTCACTTTGAAATTAATTTTTGATATGTTTTAGCTTACCTCAAGGGCATCCAAGATGTAGGTGTCTGTTTCCACAGTATTTTCAATTTTGATATTTTTAGGTCAAACCGTTCTTGTCTGTCAGTTATATAATGGAGGTATATGGTCACCACCTCAAAGAGCATGCACAGAGAAGTCCAAATTAAACATGATTTAATGACTCGTAAATGTAAGTACACATTGATGGCCTAAGACATGAAACGAGCGGTTTGTGTGAGAAAACGAACAGTATATTGTTTTTACCTCTTGTAACCAACAGCCACGTCCAAGTGTCTGTTGATATATCGAAATCATCTTCCATTGCAATTTCCTGTATATCTAAATATGTTTAGATCTTCACAGTGAAGGGTAACACTTCTGAAATCTCTGTGTAAACAATGAGTCACGTACACGCGCGAGAGATCACTTCCAGGGCTTTCCGGCACTTGCGCAGACAGAAGCGCCCTCGCCCTCAGAGTACTTGGACGTGGCTGTGATTACAAGAGGTAAAAACTATATAAATTCTGTTCGTTTTCTCATACAAACCGCTCGTTTCGTGTCTCAGGCCATCAATGTGAACTTGCATTGATGAGTCATTAAATCATGTTTAGTTTGGACTTCTCTGTGCATGCTCTTTGAGGTGGTGACCATAGACCTCCATTATATAACTGACAGACAAGAACGGTTTGACCTACAAATATCAATATTGAAACTACTGCGGTAACAAAGACACCTACATCTTGGATGCCCTTGAGATAAGCTAAAACATATCAAAAATTCATTTCAAAGTGAACTATCCCTTTAAGTTTACCCCGAACATATAGTGATGTCACTAAGCAGTGACGGCACAGTATAAAAGCATAACTCATAAGTTTGTGTACGGCCCTAACTACATGTATATAGCTACAAATATTATTTAGTTCATCAGTGATATTCTCTCTCACCTTTAAATGTCATTGGCTCTTCCATAACATCGATTTCTGATTCTGACTGATCTAACATGCATTACTTGTCTCCCACTATCCTGATTAGTATTAGCAGCTCCACCTCTCCGAGATCTCTTTTGATCAGAAATATCATTAGCTTTAAGTGTAGATATGGAAAAGGAAAAAAAAAATATGCTTGACTGTCTTTTTGACTCATTTTGACTCACACCGCCACCAACCATTGAGAGAGATTTTGAAAAGAAAGCTGAATATATATATATATATATATATATACATATATACTGTAGGCCTATATAAATATATATATACTGTATATATATATATATATATATATATATATATATATATATATATATATGTTGAGGCTGAGGGCCAATAGCAAAACCCAACCTTTAAATATATCTGCACAAACCTCTCTAACATGCACGCCATGCAATGCACTTGTTATTGCCGGATCATTTAAAAACAAATGCCGGAATGCAAAAATCCCAAATCTGACATTTTCCAAAACAGTATCCTGAGGGGTTGTGATCACCAAGGCTCCAAGGCATAATTTTTTTTTAATACAGTAAAAACTGTAATATTATGATATATTATTACAATTTAACAATTAACATCAAATTATTAGTCGTTTAATTTATTATAAATACAAACAGCATATGAATTTAATTCAGTATGAATTCTAGTATACACACTATATAGTTTAATGAAAGCAAATAAGAAAATAAGATATATACAAATTAAACAAATCCTTATTTTACAAACCATTTAATCAAAAGTCACGAAAAACAAATAATAATTAAAAAAAAGTATCCAATTTGTAGGCTGTAGATTTCAAAAATGAAACTAGGCTAAAACTATACACAGTTAAGCTATTAATAATTTCATATAGCCAAATATCAGCCGACAATGTCACTTCCACAAACGCTACAGAAATCACTTTTAACTGGGCCACTATAATGTAAAACAGTACTTCTAAATGTAATGAGATGATTTCTCACTTCCAAAGACAAAAAATGAAGTCTCAAAGGGGAGTATTGTGTTTATCTAAGGTATTTTACTTGATTTATGATCGGTTGTTTGAATTATCTCTTTCTTTACAGCGCTTGGGTAAATTATGATTTTGACAGCGCTGTTGTTTATTCTGGAGGCGTTACAACCCACAACACCCAATATATGAGAGTGTGTGTTTGTGTGTGCGTTTGCAGTACATTAAAAATGATGGGAAGCAGATCAATGAACAATTTAGATGGTGAAACCACTCAAGCGGACCCAAGAGAAAAGAAGACAGAAACTATGAGCAACTGCAAAAATAAATCACAAATTCATCAGGAATAGTAAATATTAAGCCACAAGGATGCATACATACGCACATGTGTGTGTGTGTGTATACGAGGAGAGAAAGCTCTTGGTGTTTAATAGGCATCCAGCACCTCCGCCCCACCCACATTTTTCATTGTTTTTCCTTTGACGATACACAAATCAATCTCTCTCTCTCTGCGTTTCCTGTCACCATCTCTTCCACCAATAACAGTCCTGGCATAATACAGTGAAAACAAACCTCGTCCCACTACCCTCCATTACAATCAGATTCCATTTCTCTTCTCTTCTCACTCACTTTAGCCTGTCTATCTGTTTTTATAGAGCTCAGGGAGAAAGACAGCGAGAGGTAAATGACAAAGAACTTCTTCGGTGGAATCCACTGGCTGCAAACCAGCTTAATTGAAAGCTGCAGCTAAGGTGCATTAGGTTTAATAAACCATATGCCAAAGCTCGTATAAATAGCGAGCACACACACACTTACTGTTCTCCGAGAGCTCAATGATGTAATGCAGTAGAGGGCTGTTCCCATCAAAGGGCCGAACCCACGACAGAAGAACTGTCCTGCTGTCAGTCTCATTCAGAGACACCTGCAGGTTACGTGGAGAATGGGGAAGTTCTCTAAAAAGACAGAGATAACCAAATAAACAATCAAAATATGCATATTTGCAGTAAAACAAAATTCAAATACAATTCAAATACAAATAATACAAAACTGTTGTCTCAGCCTTTGTGAATTGTACAGGTTGTCCGTCACTAAAGTCGTCATGAATTCAATATTGTATCTATTTACTTTGTTAGCGCACATTACTAGTCTTGTGGTGAACAAAGAATCCGTGCAAGTTAAAGGGATACTCCACTTTTTTTTTTTTTTTTTTTTTTTTGAAAATAGGCTCATTTTACAACTCCCCCAGAGTTAAACTGTTGAGTTTTAACCGATCTACGGTTCTGGCGGTACCACTTTTAGCATAGCTTAGCATACAGTACATCATTGAAGTTGACAAGACCATTATCACAAATCACTCACCCTAACTATGGGCAATAGTAGAGATGCTTGACTTAAATACCATAAACAGCCTTTAGGCTTATACATTCAGATACATCAATAAGTCACTTTGTAGATTTCTTTGTTGCAGTTACTTTCAAACCAATGCTCCTGAGGTTCAAATGGTAGCATTATCACTCAAGAAAACCTTCTACAAGCAAAAAGTGTTCATCATGGCAGCAAGGGGTTTGTGGGATATCAAAAAGATCCTAGGCGGCTTACAAACAAAAAGATTCTTTGACAAAAAATAATTTTTAAATTCCATTTCAAAAATAAAGAAATACAACATTCATTCATGAATACTATAATATTAAAGAAATAGTGAGAAAATACCAATTTCTGTTTCTCCCCCTTATGTCATTCCAACCCTATATAATTTTCTAAATTGCGTTAGACACAAAAGAAAAGAAAGAATGGAATAATGTCAGAGCCGCTGATTTTAGGGATTGTTACATGAAACTTTGAATATGTGCAAAACTATGGAAGCTTATTTCCGCCACTGAATAAAAATAAATAAATAAATAAATAAATGTGACTTTTTATCTCACAATTGCGAGATATGAAATCAGAATTGTGAGTAATAAAGTCGCAATTCTGAGAAATAAAGTCGCAATGCCGAGAAATAAAGTCGCAATTCTCAGAAATAAAGTCGCAATTACGAAAAAAGAATTCTGACTTTTTCTCACAATTGCTAGTCTACATCTCGCAATTCTGACTTTATCATACATAGTTGCGAGTTTATATCTCAAAATTTTGACAACTTTTCTCAGAATTGTGAGATATAAAGTCGCAATTGCGAGTTATTAGGCCAATTCGAGGGAAAAAAACAAACTTTTTTCCCTCTCAGAATAGTTTACTCTTTAATAGTTTAATCTCATAATTCTGACTTTATATCACGCAATTTTGATTTTATAGCACGCAATTCTGACTTTATAACACGCAATTGCGACTTTATATCATCCATTTCTGACTTTATAACACGCAATAGCGACTTTATATCTCACAATTCTGACTTTACGTATATCACGCAATTCTGAGAAATAAAGTCAGAATTGCGAGATGTAAACTCACAATTGTGAGAAAAAAAAGTCAGAATTGTGAGATAAAAAAGTCGCAATTAACTTTTTTTATTTTTCATTCTGTGGCGGAAACAAGCTTCTATACAAAACAGACTACTTTTATTGTGCTTTTGGAAATGTTTGGTGCATGTACTGTAAAAGTGCAGTCAACTAAACACCTTTAGTTTTTTCACACATTGCAATAAAGATTTTGAACAACATGAGGGTGAGTAAATGATGACAGAAGTGTCATTTTTTTGTGTGAACTAACTCTTTAACATCACTTTCCACTATGTTACAAGATCAAAAGTTCCACTGTTCCTACAACAACATTACATTTATGAAAACTACATTACAATATCACATAATACAATTATGTACTTTGCAGAAGCTTGTAATATGCGTGTGACAGTTTTTTTGTCCCCCATCTGTCTCAACAGCTTAAATTTGCAATAACATCTAATATTGTTTAAAGCGAGGCACTGCTCAGCCATCGTCTAACATGTGGTAGCCTAATAAGAGGACCTGTCCACTGCATGAGATTAACTTGAACGCCTGTGAAATCACATTAGCATGTGAAGCATTGCCTCTCCTTCAACCGTCTGATGAGTTTTCTTTCAACAGAGTTTGCGGGCTGCATTATTAAAGGTAGGAGTATATTGTGGTGCTCCGTTATCTTAATGTGACTGTCAAAGGTATTATTGTTATTATTCAAATTGCATGTGTTTTCAATTTGTATCTCATAATTTAAATGTCAGCTGTAAGGATTCCTTTTCTGAACCCAGTTTCTCTCACAGACTAGCGTGTCTTAAATTAAATATTGCTTTATTTTGAGTTCAGTTAAGTAGTACTAAAAGAATTACATTACATTGCGGTACTTTAAGAACATTTGCAAATTATAGCTTATTTCAGTTATGTTTTGTATGATTGATGATTTGTAATATTTCTCGGGTTTTCTCCAAGATGAGCTCTGATTCGATTATGCAAGCTGCATTCACAATTTTTACGCAGATAAATAATTTCTTATAAGCACAAAAATGTAAGCTTGTAGGTGGATTTCCCCGAGAAGTAGCACCACAGCAGCATTTGGCTCAACCAATGGCACGAGTTTGGGATGGGACTATCTGACTAATGGAGTTTGGGGGAAATCATTCTAATATGCTGATTTAGTGGACCAATTATTATAAATTTTTTTTTTTTATATTTAATCAATGTTGAAAACAGTTGTGCTACTGTACTTAATATTTTTGTGGAAACTGAGAACACATTTTTATTTAATGCATGAAAACAGCATTTATTTAGAAGCACATTTTTGTTACAATTTAAGTGAAACTTTGAATCAATTTAATACGTCCATGCTGAATACGTATTAAAGGAGTAGTTCACTTTTAAAAAAAAACTTTTCCTGATAATTTACTCACCCCCATGTCATCCAAGATGTCCATGTCTGTCTTTCTTCAGTCGAAAAGAAATTAAGGTTTTTGATGAAAACATTCCAGGATTTTTCTCCATAAAATGGACTTCAATGGGAACCAAACGGTTCAAGGTCCAAAAGATAGTTTCAGTGCAAATTGTAAACTGTTCAAAGGGCTTTAAACGATTCCAGACAATGAATAAGGATCTTATCAAGCGAAACGATTGCTCATTTAAAAAAACAACAACAAAGTTTAAGTTTTATAAGCTCAAATGGTCTGTGATGCGCATTCGTGACTCTCCTGTTTGAACTTGTTCATCAAAATGAACAAATCTTTTTCCAGGTCAATTCATTCATTTCGTTCGTTGAATGAACCAAATGACACGAAAAAAGATTCGTTCATTTTGATAAACGAGTTCGAACAGGAGAGTCACGAACGCGCATCACAGACCATTTGAGCTTATAAAACTTAAACTTTGTTATTTATCTTTTTAAAGAGCGATCGTTTCACTTGATATGACCCTTATTCGTAGTCTGTAATCGTTCAAAGCACTTTCAACAGTTTGCAGTTTGCAATGAAAGTGTCTTTTGGACCTTGAACCGTTTGGTTCCCATTGAAGTGCATTATATGGAGAAAAATCCTGGAATGTTTTCATCAAAAACCTTTAATTTGTTTTCGACTGAAGAAAGAATGACGTGGATATCTTGGATGACACGGGGGTGAGTAAATTATCAGCAAAAGTTTCTTCCTTACAGTGATGTACATGAGTGAATCAACTTCTCAGTCAAGAAAAAAATATATTTGATTGGACCGTTTGCTATTGCTGTGATCTCATGTCCTTACTGACCCCAAGCCTTTGAACACTAATGTATATGCAATCATGTTACTTGATTAAGAAAGACTTATGAAGGCTTTTGACACAAAAGACAAGCTTTTAGGCCTTTTAGGTTGACTTGGTGAGTGTGTATTTTTCTTATTGTGAGCAATATTTTCAAACGCATCCAATTAAACAAGCTGCGCACTGTCATTCAGTGTTATTCAGTGTATTTCATGTACTTCAAAGATCGATGCATCCATCCATATGACAACATTCAGCCAACTAGAAGCAGTAATTAATATCTGAGCGGCGTGTGTATGTGTGTGTGTGTTTAATTAGATCCTGATGCCACAGAAGTTTAGCAACATTGGCTAGTTGTCAAAGGAGATGATCTTGGCCTTGGGCATCAGGCCTATCTTATTCTACTCTCCCTTTTTATCTTCCTCCCGCATCCACACACACACACAATCACAGCTGCTCCCTCCTCTGTCCTATCATTATAGCCCATTTTTTGGATGGTTCTCTTGGCTTCAGAACTGCAGCTGGAATCCAAGCATCTTCCTCTTACAATAGCACTCCAATACGTACTGAGCGCACATGTACTGTACAAGTGTAGTCCCTTCAAGGAGTTTCGTATCGAACGTGAATGTTGGCAAGGATTTGTGTGTTTGTGTCTATTTTTGCTCACATGACTTCCAGTCGGGTGGTTTTGGAGTCATTTCCAGCTGGTGAGATGACCCTGCAAGTGTAATCGCCGATGTCTCCGGACCACGTCTGGCTGATGTGGAGTGAACCTTCCTTCATTGACACTCGCCCACCAGTCGACACGCTCAGCGGCTTGGTTCCTTTATTCCATGCATATCTGCGGAAAATAGGACTCTTTATGATGACTCATAATCCACCAAAAATATCACACTCCAAAGACCTGCAGACCTGAAATAGAACAACACCAAATTCGACATCGGCTTCTCTTCCCTATGTGCTCGATAATGACCTAAACAAGATGGATAAAGACTATATAATATGGTAACAATGTCTTCATTTTCACTTCTGATCAATTTAATGCATCCCCGCTCAATAATGTATTAATTTCTTTCAAAATAAATAAATAAATCTTTCTGACCCCAGACTTTTGAAAGGTAGTGTATGCTTAAAGCAAGATCAATTTATGTGAAATATTCAAACTAAAAAATTACAACTGTAATATTTTGTGAATATTAGATATTGTGTTTCCAGAGCAGTGTCATGCGGTTTGTAGGGTGTTCTGAATTGGTCTTACTAGCCCAAGTCTCTGTTGACATGTTTACATCCAAGTTGCAAATGTAAGTTATGCATAAATATATACTGTAAATAAATAAAAAAGCAGCTGATTGTAAAAAATAAATATTACAACATCAAATCGTTTTCCTAAAAACTAAATTGGCACTCAGTAGAAATAAGAAACAGTTATGAGAGCCAATCATTATTTTTTATGTGCATCTACAGTATACATTTATTTAGCATTTCCATCATAGTTTATCCACCTCAAGTACACCTTCAGAGAGGCATAGAAAAGTACTCAAGTGGCAAGATTTAAGGTTTTAAATGTATGCCTGTAGCACCAGTGGAGCGGGATGAGTTCTGTTCGAGGTCTTGACTAACAGTGAACGTGATTTCCCCAAGTACAACATATTCCTGGATCAAGGTCTTTTTTGATTTTGGAGCAACATTCCAATCAACCAATCAGATTTGAGGGACATGTTTACAGGTTATGTCAAGTTTAGGCTTCTACTGTACATCAGTGTTATTCACCTATTATTTCCCTCTGCATTTAGGGATAAGTTATGGGTGGGGTTATATTTAGGGGTTGGTACAGGATTAGTAAAACATTTTCAGACAGGAGTGTTGTTCCAAATATGTCTTAGGGGTGTAACGATACCCTCATGTCACAATACGATATTAGTGTGATACTTCAAGACATACTGTATGGTAAAAGGTTAACAAAAAATGTACTGTTGATTAAAATGCTAAATTTGATATTACATTTAGGCTTGGACTTGGTGCTTGTAACCCAAGGACAATGGTGACACCAGAATAAAAATATTCATGATTCTGAAGCTGAAAAAACTATGAAAAAATATATAAAAAAATATATAAAAAAATATGCTTGCACTCTTTCACTGACTAGATATAGGCCCCGTCCACACTACTGCATTTTCGTTTTAAAACGGATACCTTTTGCTACGTTTGCACCTCCCGTCCACACTTAGGCTATGTTTACATGGAAACGATTCTGAAGAGAAAACGCAAAAGTGGCGTTGCGTTATCACTTTTTATTCTTCGTTTAGTCAAATGTTTTGGGTGGGAAATCCGTGTGCATATGGTGACGCAAAAGTGTGTGAAATTCAATGTAGCATGCACTCCAGGCAGCTAGGTGGCGATGTGAAGCACTGCCACACAACAACACCAAGTCCGCACGTCTTCATACAACCTTCGCTGTCAAGCTGACTTTTGCGTTTTTACCCGTTACATGGGAATGCGGCGGTGGAGCGTTTTTAAGATTTCCATTCTGGAGGGTGGTTTCACTTTTTGCGTTTTCAAGCCCAAAAAACGCCGTCGCCGTGTAAACGAAAGGCACATCCGATAAAACATTTTTACATTTTCACCCACGCATTCTCGTGTAAACAGGGCCTTAAACGGAAAAAAACGAAGACCTAAAACGAAGAAGTTTAGAAATGCTGCAGCTCCATTTTGCGTTTTGAATCGTCGGACGGCGTTTTAGTGAAGACGGGACAAAACGATGACGCAGAAGCTCACGCTCGGCTCTATGATTGGGTTCTTGCCTGATTCGTCAGCCACCCATCACATGACCCGTTTCCTGTTTACACCGGCACGCGCATGGCCCAGTGTTGGTGAATGGTCACGTGATCTGCGTTTTCAGTCGTTTTAATGTGGACGGAGATCAATTCTAATACGCAGATAAAACGCTGGTGTGGACGGAGATCGTATTTCGTTTTTCCGTTTTTAAACGAAAACGCAGTAGTGTGGACGAGGCCATATTTAAAATAATGTCGGACACTTTTTACTGGTAACATCAGACATTTGGCATTATCAGGAGCCACAAATATTCCCCCATTGCATTATTATACATTATAATCAACACTATATATAATGGTTTAATGTAGTACTAACACTAAAAGTCTGAAAACTTAAATTTTTTCTCAAACAATAATTTTTATTTTGGGGGGACTATCCACGATACGTATTGTTGCATTTTTGTATTGCGATATATATTGTGGCACGATATATTGTTACACCCTAGTGACCTAATATGCTTGATTAGCCAAAGCCAACCTCGCGAAGCAAAAGAACATTTTCTTAAGTTTTTGAAATGAAAATCATGCATCTCAGCTCAAGCTCTGACCTGACGGTGACTCTGGAGTCGTGGGTTGCCGCACAGTTCAGCACAGCGGTAGTTCCCTTTATGACACGCTGATCCTCAGGGGGTGTTGAAATAAAGGTTCGACCTGATTAATAAAATGCAGTTTAGGACAAAAATCACGCCACAGTTTAATCATTACCAACATCATTATTCACAGTTCTTTTAACCCTATTAAGTAATTCCCACTGACAGCTTCATTAGCAAAACAGAATGAAATTTACAAAGCATGAACGTTCGAATATTCACACTGCGTCTCAATGACCATATACGTAGTACGGCTAAGCAAATGATCAAATTCTCTCACACACATAACCCACTGGGTCCAATCGACTTGATTAAAGCTCATACATGTGACGTTTTCAACGTTAAAACGCTATCTTCCAGTTTAATGCTCACTGACAACTATAAGTCAGCCATTTGTTTGTTGGAAATACCGTCGCTGTGCGGCCCGACGTGTCAACTTCCAGCTCAACCAATGGTGTGAGTTTAGGGCGGGGCTATCTTTTTTGTCTGAACTAGACAAGGATAGTTTTTCTGACATTCAGTTTGGCGCTGCCAACGGTGCATAAATTACACGCTGTAGTTTTAATCAGAGAGACTTCTTGCTTTCCTTTTAAGTGGCCAATCCACAAACAGCATTATTTAGGCTGGATGTCAAAAATGCTCTTAGACACTTCCACGCACCCACGCTCAAGCGTAAACCTGCATCAGCATCATTAAGCATGCACAGCAAGATAAACCGAGGCCTTGGGATTTAAGGATGACACTATTCCGGTGTGAAATTACGGCAAAAGACTTAACATTTCACAAATATTGTGCTCTGCCATGCCTTTACAGTCAGCCGAGCTAATGAATGCCGCAATTAAGCCAAACAATGACTGCTGATAAAAGGCATGTTTGGAAATTGTCTGCAATCCTGTCGGTGCTAAATTTCAAATACGCTAAAATTTGTTTGTACTTTCAAGTCATTAAAAACAGCACATTATTCACAATATCACAGTTTCGTACTCAAGACTGTCAGGGCCACGGTGGCGTTGACCAGTCCCTCAGAGTTAGACGCCAAACACGTGTAGTTCCCTGCGTCGCTCTGCATTATGGGTAGTATCTGTAAGCCTCCGGACTCCAGCAGAGTGAAACGAGGTATCTGCACCGATCCGCTCGCTAACACCTGAGAACCTGCGAGAATCACGGGGTTAGTCACAGAACTGCTGACATGTTAATCGTGTAAATGATGTGCAAACAGGTGGGAATGTAATTTTCGTACCTTTCCTCCAAACAATAGCAGGTTTGGGGGCGCCAGATATCTCACAGGTGAAGACAGCTGACGCTCCGTCAGTCACAGTGATGTCAGAAGGGGGCGTGGTGAAAGATGGTGACACGCCTACCGTGAAAACAAGTGAATCAGAATACTGAAAATCTAAGAAAATATAGAGTGACCCTCCAAAGGAATAATTTAGGCTAATTTGCATATTCATAGAACCGTGTACAGTTATTATAAGGCATGAAGACATTTTTTTTTCAAGGAAAAAAACCTTTAAATATGTAATTTTGGATTAGTTTAAAGACTACAGAGGGACTTTAAGTTAATCAAATTTGTCCTTCAGCATGACACATGAATTTTTCAAACAAATTTCATTAATATGAGCTGTAATGTGAGCCAAAAAACAACTATTTTTAATAATTATTGGGGGGGGGGAAGCAAAACACAATTTAATATAGTTTTAGATGTCACTTACTCTAACATACAGTGTTGAGATACACTTAAAAACATTATTTGTGTGACAATGTTTAAAATCTCTTCCTTCAGGAGTAATTGAATTTTATGAAACCCAAGGTTAGTTACATTACCATTCAAAAGATTGGGGTCAGGAAGATTTAATTTATTTATTTTTTTTTTTTAAGAAAATGACTAGTTTTATTCACCAAGGATGCATTTAAACTGATAAAAGACAGTAAACACTTCTACATTGCTACAAAATATATTGTTGCTCTTTAATACTTTCTATTAATAAAAATGATCTGTCACAACTTCAAGTGATGTTTTACTTAACAGAATCATGATGATGAAGAACAAACACACAGGTTTAACCGTTTCAAAAAAATGAGCTTATTAGAATGATTTTTAAAGAGATATTAGAGCTTTGTCATCAGGAATAAATTACATTGTAAAATATATTAGGACATAAAACTGTTCATTTTATAAATACAGTAGCATATGAGACATTTGTAAAATCTTACTGACCTCAAACTTTCGAATGGTAGTGTAGCTCAAGCATTATTTGTCTGCAGATGGTTGGTTTCATATTTGATATTATCTAATGAAATGAAATTCATACATTTTACGTGAGACTTAAAGGTGTAGTTCACTTAAAAAAAAAAAAAACTTTTGCTGATAATTTACTCACCCCCATGTCATCAAAGATATCCATGTCTGTCTTTCTTCAGTCGAAAAGAAATTAAGGTTTTTGATGAAAACATTCCAGGATTTTCTCCATATAATGGACTTCAATGGGAACCAAACGGTTCAAGGTCCAAATGAGAGTTTCAGTGCCGATGAATAAGACCCTTATTCATCGTCTGGTGTCGTTTAAAGCCCTTTGAAGCTGCACTGAAACTCTCATTTGGACCTTGAACCGTTTGGTTCCCAGTGAAGTCCATTATATGGAGAAAATCCTGAAATGTTTTCATCAAAAACCTTAATTTCTTTTCGACTGAAGAAAGAAAGACATGGACATCTTGGATGACATGGGGGTGAGTAAATTATCAGCAAAAGGTTTTTTAAAAGTGAACTACTCCTTTAAGTGTTTAAGTATCTGGGGTCACTGCTTAAACATACTGGTACATGCAGTATTTCGCAGTGAACAAACTGCTGCTCAACATCCTGTATTATTCACTTGTTAATTATTTACTTGATGAATGTACCTAAAATTAAAACTCTTAAACTCCAATAAAAAATGGTGTGAACTGAAATGAAGCTTGAGAGCAAAAGAGAGATGAGGATGACTAAGCGGGAGAGAGCTGGAGGTGTTGATTAAGTGCTGTGTGTGTGTGTGTGTGTTAAAGGTTGATCTCTCAGTAGACACTGATTAATTACACAGATCAATGAGAGGTCTCTGAACTCCCTGATCAATTCACAACCGAGAGGAAAAGAGAGCGAGATCACTGACTTTTAAAACATCCATGGCTGTATTTATGCTCCATCTTCCCATTAGCTTGAAGCAATGATTCACCCAAAAATGAAAATCCTGTCACCAATTACTCACCCTAATGTTGTTCCAAACACATGACTTTTCTTTTTCTCATGAAAAAAATGATTAGAATAAAAATAAAAAAAAGATTTTGAAGAATTTCTTGTGTCCATACAATGAAAGAATATTTGGGCTCTCAAGCACAAAAGTAAATTCAATATATATACCAAAAGACAATCAGTCATATGAGTTTGGAACAACATGCGTGTGAGTAAATGATGGCAGAACTGCATTTCTGGGTGAAATATTCCTATAACTATTAATCTTACTTGTGACGACCAAGTTGGTATGTGCCTGGATTTCTCCGGCCAAGTTTTCAGCGAAGCACTGGAATATTCCAGCATCGTCCGGCTGAATTCTCCGTACTTGTAGAACCATGGAAGAAGACGTGAGTTTGTACCGAGGGTTGTTCAGTGTGGAGAGGGGGACGGCATTTTTGAACCACTCCAGCTTTGGTGTGGGAATTCCTGAATAATACATAAAGCATCAGAAGATTTCCAGAGAAAGAAGTTTATGGGTCAATTTTTATTCGATCAAATATATAGTAAAACAGTGATATTGTAAAATATGATTACAATTTAATACAACTGTTTTTTCTATTTTATTCCTGTGATAGAATGATTTCTGAAAGACCATGTGACACTGAAGGAATAAATTACATTTTAAAATATATTAACAAAAGAAAACTGTTTTTATATTGTAATATTATGTCACAATATTACTGTTTTTACTGTATTTTTGATCAAATGAATGCAGCCTTGGTTCACTTTTTAAAAAACTTGTGCTGATAATTTACTCACCCCCATGTCATCCAAGATATCCATGTCATTATTTCTTCAGTTGAAAAGAAATTAAGGTTTTTAAAGTAAACATTCCAGGATTTTTCTCCATATAATGGACTTCAATGGGAACCAAACGGTTCAAGGTCCAAAAGACAGTTTCAGTGCAAACTGCAAACTGTTCAAAGGGCTTTAAATGATTCCAGACGATAAATGAGGGTCTTATCAAGCAAAACGATCGCTCATTTAAAAAAAAACAATAATAAAGTTTAAGTTTTATAAGCTCAAACGTTCGCCTTGCTCTGTTCTGTGATGCGTGTTCGTGACTCTCCTGTTCGAACCCGTTCATCAAAATGAACAGATCTTTTCCCGACTTCAACTTGTTCATTTCGTTCGTTGAATGAACCAAATGACACGAAAAAAAAAATTTTTCATTTTGATGAAGAACGAGTTCGAACAGGAGAGTCACGAACGCGCATCACAGAACAGAGCAAGGCGACCATTTGAGCTTATAAAACTTAAACTTTGTTATTGTTTTTTTAAATGAGCGATCGTTTCGCTTGATAAGACCCTTATTTATCGTCTGAAATCATTTAAAGCCCTTTGAACAGTTTGCAGTTTGCACTGAAACTGTCTTTTGGACCTCGAACCGTTTGGTTCCCATTGAAGTCCATTATATGGAGAAAAATGCTGGAATGTTTTCATCAAAAACCTTCATTTCTTTTCGACTGAAGAAAGAAAGACATGGACATTTAGGATGACATATGGATGAGTAAATTATCAGCAAAGGTTTTTTTTTGTTTTTTTTTTTTTAAGTGAACTACTCCTTTAAAAACAAATCTTAAATATTCCAACCATGCACCAAAAGAATAAGAGCTAGATTTACACAAATGCCATTTGACATTTGGTAGATGAGCAAATTATTACCAAAGCGGGCACACACACACACACACACACAGTGTTTGATTTATCACAAAGTTAACATTTTCATCAATAGACCATCATCAGGGCACACTTTGGTTTAATTAATGAAAATTTAATCTAATAAATTGGCTTTGATTGATTAAACTTCCAATAACATTTTGACATGCTTCACCGACAAAAAAGAGAGATGATTTGGAGAGGAGGATAAGTAAGGGAGATCAAGAGGAGAGGGAGCGAGAAATCAAGAAGCGAGGGCGAAAACGAATAAAACGGCAATTATATGTATTAGCAATAATTGTAAATTAAGTTCATCTGAAGGAACTCATGATATGCTCATCATGATATGCAAATTAAAGAATATATCATGGATAAATCCTGCAGCTCAACACTTTAAAAAAGGTCAAATAGCGTGAATCCGCTCCACCCCGCCTCCTATGGAGGAGTCTCGGCGTCGATAGTCGTGTCACACCCACGGGATGCAAGACAAGGATGTTAAAATAAGACTGTCAAAAACAAGCTCGCTGTAATTAAATTTCTGACAGTTTATGACAAAGTGTGCTCAAACTCAGCTTCACACCCTTACAGAAGTGCAAAAAGAACGAGCCGAGATTCTCAGCAAGTGTAAATTGCAGAGGTACAATCTTTGCCACAAAAAAAAAGGAAAAGTCTCAGTAGTTTTAAAAAGTTTCATGAAGGAGAAACTGTCCAGATTTCCGTTAAATAAAGGAGAAAATATTACCCAAAAAAGAAAGTTGAGAAGAAAGAACCGTTTGAGGTCTCTTTTTATGAATTTTCCTTGTTAGAAATCATGAAAAGTTTAACTTTTAGACACTTGGCACTTTGTTGCTGAAATGTAGGTCAGATTTACAGCTTGTTAAAAGGATTTTCTAGTTCTGCTCCTCCGTTGCCCTGCGAGCCAATGATATACCAAATGTCTTTTAACTAGATCCTAACGTAGTATGAACACTGACGCCAATTAACAGCTAATACCATTAGCGTCTCGCTCGCCTTTCCTAATGTACTTGACCGCTTATTATCATTTAGTCGATTAAATAAAGATGAATTCAAATAAGGACACGTTGCGGAAACGAGCAGGGGTCGATGCGGCGCGCTTGGCGAAAAGGTCAAATTTGTGAGACGACAAACGATTATGATAAAAGCATGTCTCTGGTTGAGTCAGCACATAAACTCAATGACGTTCTTTGTCGGCTGAAAGCACACCGGCCACAATAAAATGAACGTGGTATAACATTGTGCAGAAATGGGAACATTATGCTTTTAAAAAGACACATTCAAACATTTGAGACTGACAGGTAGTGCGCTGGAAGTTAAGTGGCTTTTTTATTCTATAAGTGCTGGCAGTCTTTATACTCCTGACAATATAAAGATTATGGTTTCCTGCAGGGGATTGGTTATACAACTGCAGAGTATTTAGGACATGTATTATATGACTGCTAAGTGGTCAAACTCGGAGGTGCTGCAGTCATTTGATAGCTGGTGCAACACGGCTGTGTGTTTCTAGAAGGGGCGGGGCAGGGGGCGGGGCTTACCTTTGGCCTGACACTGAAGCTCCACTGTTTTCTCAACTTCCGTTACCACCGACCTCTTTGGTTTTGACGTGAAGTATGGGGACTCTGTGAAGGACATTCACACACACGTCTGGTTTAATACTTTGTGGGGACTCTCCATAGGCGTAATGATTTTTATACTGTATAAAGTGTATTTTCTATTCACCTAACCCAAACCCTACCCCTAAACCTACAAAATTTTCAGCATTTTTACATTTTCAAAAAAATATAATTTAGTATGCTTATTAACCCATTTCTGCTGGCCCCCACAATGTAGGTAATCTCAGTTTTACCATCCTTGTGGGGACATTTGGTCCCAACAATGTAATATAAACCTGTACACACATACACACGCACGAAAGTGTAAGTACAAACAACATTTTAACATTTTATGAAGAAAATTATGCAAAAAAAGCGTAACTCTTCACCCTTTGGGAATGTTGTTATGATGTGAAGGTGTTCTAAGAGGTTGCTAGAGCATAGTTTTGTGGATGATTAGATATTGTTACATTAAACGTAACATTAAATGTAACATAAAACCCTAATGTACATAACTGATTAGAAACAAAAAACAAGAAAACTACGAGGAACCATAGTTATTTCAAACAAAATACATAAAATGTGAAGTGTCACACAGGGAATTGTGGGAATGTCAATTTACGTTTGTTCACTTTAAATTATACACTGTAAAAAATAAAAACGTCATTTTTACAATAAAAAAACGGCAGCTGTGTTGCCAGAACTTTACCATTAAATATACGGTAGGAACGTAAATGGTTTTACAGACTTAACTTAAAATTTACAGTAATACACCGCATTTCATTTTTTGGAATCTGTTGATTTACCAACCGTTTGAAACATCTGTTTTGTACCTTTGTAATACACTTACAACCAACAATCATCACAGCAGTGAAATAAAAAAAAAATGCAATAAACATTAAATTAACAACATTAGAAAATGTTTAGAAAAAAAACAAAAACAAGAAAACTATGAGGAACCAGTTATTTCAACATAAATACATAAAATGTGAAGTGTCACGCAGGGAATTGTGGGAATGTCAATTTACAGTTTTTCACTATAAATTATACAATGAGTTGTTCTTTTTCACTTTCAAAAAATGTACATTTTACAGTAAAATTATAACAGTTATTTACTGTATATAGTACGGTAACTTTCTGTTAAACAATTAACAGTTTTGCACTGTAGCATTTTTACAGTCTTTTACCATTAAAATTACGATTATTTTTTACTTGTTCTTTTTCACTTTCAAAAACTGTAAATATTACTGTAAAATCATATCACAGTTATTTACCGTATATAGTACGGAAACTTTCTGTTAACCAATGAACAGTTTTGCACTGTAGCATTTTTACATCCTTTTACCGTTAAAATTACGATTATTTGACTTGTTCTTTTTCACTTTCAAAAACTGTACATTTTACAGTAAAATTATATCAGTTATTTACCGTATATAGTACGGAGAGTTTCTGTTAACCAATTAACAGTTTTGCACTATAGCATTTTTACCGTTAAAATCACGATTATTATTTTTTTTGCTGGCATAACAGTGGATATTCTTGAAGTGCATTTTTTGGTCATGATAAAATAGTGAAAGTTTGGATCTACTACACTTTCACTTAACTACATGTAAAAAGCAAGAAGTGTGCTCAGACTTTTCCCAGCCGTGTTTGGTGCCACATTTAGCTCATTATAATAGTAAAAAGGTATTATACATGTATGTATGTATATATATGTATGTATATATATATATACAAAAGAAAACCCTTTCATCCTCCACCCTTTTATTTTCCCCTTTATTATGACAGAAAGAGCAAGACTCATGTTACTTTTGTTTTTGTTTTTCTCTCTCTCTTTCTAACTCACTCCAAATGAAAGGAGACAAAGGACCTGGTAACCGTAATGCCGATAACAGCTTTTCACTTACCAAAGAATATCAAACAACCAACAACAACAACAGCAAAAAAAACAATGACATAACAAAGTCAGTTTTTCCAATTCATTCCCATCCATTCTTCTCTCTTTCCTCTCCTCCTTTTCGTTCTTCCCGAACAAATAAGCACTTATTCAGTCTCATTGTACGTTTATGCAGATCAAGATATACATATTCAGTCTGGCGCCTGGATCGGATTCAACGGCAGAAACAATAAATACCTCCTCCGCCTCAACCTCTTTTCCACCGCTGGCTGCACTGACATGTTCACTTTATCTTTCTATAAAAGTCTCTCTGAGCCTCCAACAGCCCCAATTTATTCATCACTCCATTGGCTGCCTCATGCATATGCATGGCCCCCTTTCGCCCAATCATGTAAGGCGCACACCTGTCAGATAAGCTCATTGAAAGAATATTCGTTGCTGTTTCTAATAAGAGTGTGAGTTGAGGTATAAATATTCATAGCTCATCTTTTGGTGAAAAAGATGTTGAGGCAGAGAGTAATATTTGTGTTTTTGGATCAAAGAGCAGGGATGTTAAAGAGGCTGAGGATGTTTAAAGCCCACTGACCTTCTGAAAACATTGGAAACTGGGAGTCGTGAGGCTCGGGCAAAACGCCAATGGCATTGACAAGGAATACTGAGAACAAACTTGCTATTGTGTGAATAAATGTGCATAGAGACCACTTATTAAAAAAATAATTTGTCCTCTCACTTACTGAGAGATACAAAATTGGGTAACACTTCTGTGGCTTACACTTCTGGGCTCCCCTCCCAAATGACGCCTGGAGTGCCGTCTGGGCTGGGTGACCTGAGGATAAGGCCGTGCGTCCACCAAATCATTTTTAGCCAGCTGAAAACGCTAGACGCTCTGCTGAAGACACCGTGCTTTGGGTGCTTGAGAGCATTTTGGCAGCGCAGCGTTTTTTTTTTCCGTTGAGACGTTTCGTTGCTATGATACAGAATATCCGCAGCACAGTTTACTTGTAACTGATTTCGCAGATAATTTGTTTCATACTAAAAATGTATTTTTCATCCAAAGTTCGGTCAGCTCTGCTGGTTGATGTCGTTGTACAGAAAGAATGTTGTGACAGTTGGCCAGTGTGGTTTAGTCCCGCCCCTCCTCCACAGTTATTGGACGGCTGGGTAAAAATTGACAGTGATGATCGCTGCCCGAGCCGCATCCAGAGATGGCAGCCATGCTCAAGAAGGCCGCCGAGACGGTAGGGATCGAGTGGAACCCTTCACCATGTCCCGAACAGTGTTGGGAATAACGCCGTGTTAAAAGAACGGCGTTAGGTAACGCTATTTTTTCAGTAACGGGGTAATCTAGCTAATTACTTTTTCCATCGTTACAATGCCATTAACGTTAAAAACAGTTACTTTTTCAAATAAGTAACGGAAGTTACTTTGTTTTTCCATGTATTAACAGATAGCTTTCTTTAGCAGCAGAGCTGAAAAGTTAATATGAGCTGCGCCCTCTACTGTACAGGAGTGAATTTGCTTTTCCTTCAGCCTGAAGGCCCATACACACCAGGATGAATATCAGTGCGCGTTATTCGTCAGCGTTTTTCAACGCGTTTTTTGTGTTCACATCCAAGCGATTTTCGCTGACGATGAGCCGATGTGGACATGCAAATTCATTCCCTGACATTAGATGGCGCCAATTTGCTCTGCAATACCACTCCATATCAGTTTTCTTTAATCAAGATGTTTGTAGTCCCTGTCGCGTTTGTCATATAGTTCTTTATGTTCTAGCACCAACGAGAATAGCAGCTCTACATTCATCTTGCCTTGCATCTTCCTAGTCTTATTTCTTCCTGGCTGTGTAGATGGTGATGCCATAGATATCTATATAAATGCTAGATATCTCGTCCACGCTGCTGGCCAATGGAGGTCGACGTCTGCACCTGGCAGCCATCTTGTCACAGGCAGCTCGCTCACTCGTAACATTGTGTTAATGGTACATGAACTATTTTAATAACCATAACTTGCTCAATTTTATACCGATTTTCAAACGGTTTGGTTTTTATAAACGTCAGAGATGTAGTTATGACACAGCATACTTATGAATAATAAGTGTATAAATAAATAATCATCCAGATAATTATAGCTACGTTAATAACGTTTGTAAGAAACCAAACCGTTTGTAAATCAGTCAAGATTTCAACGAGAGGATTTGTGTTCGTGCTGACCACTCATCTTACATCAGCTTGCCTGTGACAAGATGGCCGCCGATGATGACGATAGAAACTCCGCCTTAAGACATCTAGCCTTTATATAGATATCTATGGGTGATGCTACTTGGCGTAAATCTTCTTCGCCATTGCATATGTGTGCTCGGCAACACTGTTTTGTGTTTGAGCGCCCCCAAGTTGTGTTTTACTTTTACTTCAGAAGCTCCAAACACGTGAGCAAAAGCGCCAATCTCACTGGTCGGATAGTTTTTGACGCAGCGCGTCAAACTAAAAAAAACGAACCCAAGGCATTTTTTTAAAAAATGACACTTTTATGCGTCGGTGTGCACACTCACATTAGCGCCCTTTGTTTAGTCACGAGGCATTAAACGTCGGCGAATAACGCGGGCGAAATTCGTGCCAGTGTTTTCTGTTGACTATTTGGCATATCAACAGTAATTTATATATAAGCTTGGAAAAGTAGAGCTGTACTTGACTAGAAATAGAGGCATTAACGAAATTTCGTGACTTTGGTTTTTTTTTTAAAAATGTTGGTATTACACATGAAAAAGAATTGAGCTCACTTCAGTATTTAATTAAATTACATTCCTTGAATCAAATCCATTTGACAAACTCTTGCTCTCTAGGTCATTTCAGTAAAATACTACTTAAAACAACTGGCAGAACCTGGCCTTACCCAGCACGGAGAGGTACGCTTTGGCCTCCGTGCCCTTCTGACTGCTGTTTCTGAGCGCAGTCTCGCACACGTACAGACCCGCGTCTGCTGAGGTGGGGTTACTGATGACCAGCCTGCGACCGAATGAGTCCACTCCTGCTGTTAGTCTCACCCCATTACGCTTCCAGAACACCTGCAGCCTGTCAAGAGATCTGCTCCGCGCACACACACACACACACAACACACAGCACATTAACTGCCAGACTGAAATTAATACTCATGCCAAGAATTATAAAGAGCACAGTTAGTTATGTGTTAAAAATGCAAGAAAAATACAAGGTCAAAAATATATGTGACCCCTGATTAACAGGTTGGCTAGGCTTCTAACAACAATATTTAATGTTTCCAGCCAACTTTTGTGGGTTTTATACAGGGTACAAAAGGGTAACCAAGGTAAAAGGTGCATTTGACTCTTAAACCAATAGATGGCACAAAAATTCAGCTCAGCACTTTTCTAGACAATCGCGTTTTTGATCAAATATACAATAATGTGAAATATAATTATTATTCAAACTAACAGTTTTTTTTTAAAGTGACAGCAAAAATGTATATTGTTTCAAATATTTCTATTTCATTTAAATGTTGAATAAAATAATCTTTTGTATTAAGGAATCACCAAAATTTATCTAAGAATCCTGAAAAATGTTCATTGATAAGAATAAGAAATATTTCTTGAGCAGCAAATCTGCATATTAGAATGATTTCTGAAGGATCATGTGACACTGAGGAGTGTAGTAATGGCAGTAAATAGATGCAGGAATAAATTACATTTGAAATGACATTAAAATAGAAAACATTTGTTTTGAACTGTAATAATATTTCACAATATTACAGTTTTACTACATTTTTGATTAAATAAATGCCGCCTTAAAAAAACTCAAAAAAGTATCAACTCAAGAATTTACCTTTTGCTAGTATACTCAAATGTTAACAAAATTCACTATTAGAAGAAATACACATTTAAAATAGACAGTCTCTTTCAGGAAAACAATTAAAAAACATCGATGACTCATTATGCATAATTTTTTGTTCAGTCAAATGCTCTCTAGAATTTGTGGCATATCTTGGCTGTGATGAAAGCTAAATATTTTCCTTTATTATTAATATATAAAGTTAATACCTAAATTTCAACAGGAAATATGCCCACAGGAAAGCAACCTGCAGATTTTAGCTTTGTTAAGTTGAAACAATTGCATAACAGAGTCAAAGTCATCCAGTTTTATTGTAAGAAATGTGAAATGACAGATACAATCACAATATTGACTGATGTGAATGGCATCACCACTGTGATGGATAATAAAAATAACAATATAACAATGAGAAACATCCCACCTCGCATTAGCGACGCACTCAAAAGTAGCCTCACTCGCCCCGGCAACCACTGATGTGTTCTTGGGTGCAATCACTATCACCGGGGCAACCAATTCAGCGGGGGCAATAACGTCTGAGATGGAGAAAGGGAAAAGAATGGTAAAAAAGAGATAGAGAAAGAGAGAGAGGGCTGATTATTGGCACAATCAATCAGGTTAATAGACTGAGCATCATGGGGGAGATAAGTTTTTGTGATGAGGTGCTAAGTTTTTTTTCTTTCTCTCTTTCTTCTTTTTATCCTCTCTCTGAATCAATTCGTTCTTTGAAAAATAATACATGCAGAGGAAAGTCAAATGACTATCCATGGCTGACAGATGATAGAGGAAGGAAAGAAAGAGCGGGAGATGGAGAAAGGTAGGTGAGTGTCGAAAATGACATGTGATTGCATCGTTAAAGGAATAGATCACCCAAAAATTTAAGTTATGTAATTTACTCGTCATTCCGTGCAATTACTATGAATGGGAACTGGAGCTTTCAATCGCAAAATGAGTTGCGCATGTGACTCATGTGATGTTTTTTCAGAAAATTATTCTATATGAGTCATACATACAGTGTATTCTTTGGCGCAATTCATGAGAGAACTTGGGATGTTTGATTCATAAAGTAATCGTTCTATTAAAATCTATCCAGTGAATCAGCTGATCCGGTTTATAGAAACCAATCTGAATTCATATGAATCGGTTCTTGAGATCAACTCACTGATTCGATTGTATCGGCTAAAGGAGGAGATTAATTATGAACTTACATTTTGGTCTGGTTGCTCACTTTGAGATAATGAATGGCTTAATGAGACTTTGAATATAGTGTTTGAGTCACAGTTTTATACTTTTATTCTATACGAGTCATATGGTATATTCCTCATCATGAGAGAACTTGAGATGGTTGATTCGTAAGCAAATTGTTCTATTAAGATTTGTTGAACATTCTGTTGACTATAAATAACTTTGCAAATACATGCCAACATATTCTAACCCTAACCCTACCAGTCTACTAATACTCTACTAATACTCTAATGAGAGTTAGTATAGAAATATAGTGTAGGTGCAATGTTAAATATAGACAACCGAATGAGTTAAAGGGACCCTCAAAATAAAGTCAAACCGATTTTTTTTAACGAATCTGTTGGTTCGGTTCACGGAACCAATTTGAATTCATGCATGAATCGGTTCTTGAGTTCAACTCACTGACTCACCGATTCGGTCACATCGACTAAATGGAGGAGATTATTTATGAACTTACATTTTGGTCTGGTTTCTCATTTAGAGCTATCGGCGTCATGGGACTTGGAATATTTCATTTGAGCCATTTTAAAAGTCATACAGTGTATTTATTGGCACAATCATGAGAGAACTTTTTCATAAGCAAATTATTCTATTTTATCCACAGAACCTGAATTAATCCATTGACTAAATGAAGGAGAATATTATCTATAAACTTATATTTGGGCTGTTTCTCACTTAAAGCTAAGGCATATAAGCATAGTGTCATACATGTCACTTTTATGGTACTTTTGTACTTCCTTTTTAATGTTTGAAAACTCCCTTCTCCATTCATTTGAATTTGATCATCTTCAAATGTGGAGAAATAAAAGATGGAACGAGTAAATAATGACAGAATTTCACTTTTATACAAATGATTCCTTTAAGACTCAACAAGAAAGGTGAGAACAAGCACTTCAGATGAAAACCAGCCTACCATGGTAGATAAACTGACACACACACACACACACACACACACTTTGATCTGATCTTTGATCAGTGACTGGAAAGGTGTAATGCATTCTCGCATCCTCCTAACACAGCAGTGATAGATGCCCTAACTTTTGTAATCTCAGTAGGAATGTATGTAATTTATGCATTCATCTCACTGTACCTCATCATTCAAAAAAGATGACAAACAAACCACAAAAAAACCAAGCAGAAAATGAAATACAGAAGATTGGAGCGAGCGAATGGTATTGAACAGGAAAAGTCAATAAGAAGAGGAACAAGATATATAGCTACTTCTGAAAAGTCTAAAAACGAATGCTATTTTAGAATCGTAGTTGTGTATGTGCACTCTAAATGTAGCCAGTATGTGTTAAACTATGGCACCTTAGGTCTGGATCTTATAACTTTGCATGGAACCTGATTTGCATAGACTGGCACATACTAAATTTATATACAGTACCAAGGACTCAAAGCAAAATATTGATGCATATGGTGTTAAATAGTTCCCAATTTTGTACTACTGATGTATGCAGAATATCAGTGCTTAGTGATTTACACATCCTGTGTTGGTCCTGGAACAAACGGTGCACTATGATTTAAGATAGTGAAGCACTGATATTAATATTCTGGCTGATATACGATGAGTTGAAAATAGTTTTCATGTTATGGTCGATAACTGTCTGTCTGTCTGTCTGTCTACATAGATTTTGGCTGTATTTATTCAAATAAATTAAATGAATATTAATAAACTAGATAACCTATTACCTAATTGTTTTTCAATATTATGTACTATTTATTTTTGTATTAATGGATTCATTAATATAAGCTAATATAATTTAACAAGTTACAGTAACTTCATAAGTTTATATAATTTATTTATTTGGTTAATATAAAAGTATTATATAAATATATTAATATAAAAATATAAAAGTATAAAAGGGTGGATGGATGGATGGATGGATGGGTGGATGAATGGGCAGATGGATGGGTGGATGGATGGATGGATGGGTGGGTGGATGGATGGATGGGTGGATGGATGTATGGGTGGGTGGATGAGTGGGTGGATGGATGGATGGATGGATGTATTGGTGGATGGGTGGATGGATGGATGGATGGATGGATGGATGGGTGGATGGATGGGTGGATGGATGTATGGCGGGTGGATGAGTGGGTGGATGGGCGGATGTATGGGTGGATGGATGGGTGGATGTATTGGTGGATGGATGGTGGATGGATGGATGGGTGGGTGGATGGATGGATGGATGTATGGGTGGGTGGATGAGTGGGTGGATGAGTGGGTGGATGAGCGGATGTATGGGTGGATGAATGAATGGGCGGATGGATGGGTGGATGGATGGATGGGTGGATGTAATGGTGGATGGGTGGTGGGTGGATGGATGGATGGATGGATGGATGGATGGATGGATGGATGGATGGGTGGGTGGATGGATGGATGGATGGGTGGTGGATGGATGGATGGATGGGTGGATGTATTGGTGGATGGGTGGGTGGATGGATGGGTGGATGGATGGATGGATGGGTGGATGGATGGATGGGTGGGTGGATGGGTGGATGTATTGGTGGATGGGTGGGTGGATGGATGTCCACAGAGTGTCCTCTGATTTTAGGGGTTGATTTAGGGCGATGATAATTTGATAGGAACATTGTTCCAGACTACCATACTTGTCTAAATCACACTGTGTGTATCACAATATCATGCTGGATGGCAAACAATAAACATAAATACATTAAATATGATCCAACCGAAATAAAGAATCACAATCTAGCTCACATCCCTCACGACTGCTGACAGAATAATTCTCTATTCTCATATTGTGCTTGGGGAAGTGCTGATTATAGCTGCGTGTTATTTTTCAGAGTGAGCTCAGAAGTACAGTAGCCTGAAGAACGCCGCAAATGAAAAGGAAGATTTGCACTAAGGGGAAAAGACAGTGTCGTGCTTCTGAGGTAACGGTGCTGTCAGACGCTTATACAGCCTCATGCACTTAAGTCAGAATGGTGTTTGACATGGTGTTGACACGGGTAGGTTTTCATCAGCCGCAGAGATTAGTGGCCTTGAGCGTATCGAGATGGTTGTAAAACAATGTAGAGCACAGCTACAGGGACACGCAAGAGTCCACACACGAGGATAGGGGTCATTCAGAGAGATCGGATGTAATAATCTTAATCCAGTGTCTACATGAGTAGTGAGCGAGATTACGACATGTGGAGATATTAAATTTGTCTCTCAGGAGAATCCATTATCTTAAGCCTCTAACAAATCCATCTAAACACACAGTACAAGAGAGATTACACACACACAGATGAAGACAGCATGGGTGAGAGCAGACAGGAAAGGGAAAGCCAGGAAATTATTTTTTCTCAGGATTCTCAATTTTTGATTGGTCGATCCTCAAATTAACCAGTGTGAAACTATATATCATGCTGTGTGTGTGTGTGTGTTTTGAAAAAATATTTTGCAGGGCTACTTTTAAGTCTTACAGAACCCTTTCAATTGATCAGTCAATAATTATGTATACATGTTATGTTGTACTAATATGCATTTAATACACAGAATGCAAAATGTAAGAAAAATGAGAGACTCATTACACATAAAAGATAAACTACTACAGTATGGGTAAGTTTGGAATTAATACATGCAAACTGCATATAAACTGATAACACGTTTAATTACTTTTCATCTTTCTGCTCAAAATGATTCCGAACATAGTCGTGTCTCGTCTTCATAATTCCAAATTAAGTCATCTGTTCACTTCATAATTCAAAATCTCAAAGCAGATCATCATCTGATGTCATCAGAGCAAGGAGACAGGAGAAGAGGAGAAGTGAACGTGAATGAAAGAGATAGGATGGCTTAAAGAGTTCATTAGAGTTTCTTACCAAGGGAACCACGATTCCTCTTGTTTACTGCTCATCAGGTCACAGAAAGCAGAGGAAGAAACAATAAAGAAATCATAAAAAAAAAAACATTCATCTCAAACATCTTCAAACTTTAAGCCTAAAACAACATCAGCTCCACTGTTTTTGGACCCTCCGTTACACCTACGATATGTAATTATGGGAATTCGCTGACTCTTGACCTGCCCTTAATGGACGCGCCACACTTAAAGGCTCCCTGCTTTCACTTTAACCAACAAAATGAGCTGTAGAATCATGTACAAAGAGTAAACACACTCATATAAACCATAAAATGCATCTTGATCAGAATTGCAGAGAAATTAGTATCATCAATTGTAAATATATTGATTTTTTTTTTAAAGTTTCAGATATTAAAAATATTTGTCCAACAATTTTATCCGTCAATAAAATGGGTGTGGGTGTATAAAACGAGTTATAAAGTCAGAATTGCAAGATAAACTCGCAATTGTGTGTTATAAAGTCAGAAATGTGAGGTGTAAACTCGCAATTGTGAGATAAAAAGTCGCAATTATCTTTCGAAAATGTTTTATTCTGGCAGAAACATGCTTTCATAGTTCTTTCTATAAGAGCATAAGATATTGTATGTTCAGATACAGAACATTTAAAATATTCATGAAAGTTTTGTGAACATTATCAAAAATTCTGGCAACTATTAAAAAAAAAAAAACGCAGGTAAATAGTTAAGGTAATGTCTTTCCCGCTTTCTGTCTCTGTTGCTTTCTTTCTCACACCACAAACTCAGCAAATGCTGTGCTTTAATTATATATTTGATAGGTGTCGTAGGAGAAGTCACACTGCAAGAATGTGACCCAAAATGTCTGGCACTGCCAAAACGCTAGAAATAGCAAGTGACACAGTACACATTATAAAATAATAAACATTCTAAACTAAACAAACTGTGCTACATTGTTGTCACACGACCTTATTACATGAATCTTTAATCTAGTTTTGTATAAAAATATCTTAACAGTGAGCTCTGGCCTGGTTTGAACACATTTGACAAAACGTGTTTTCCAATCCCGTCCCTGGCAGTAAAACAAGTGTCTTGCTCAAGGTCACCACAGTAATTAGGAAGACATCTGAATGATTCTGGTTCCGATTCTGATTGCAATTAACGATTCTGGATCCTTCATGATTCTTTTAAAACGTCTGAGGCAGCGCTGGACAGTAACGGAGTACATTTACTTACTTTTTGTACAATTTTGAGGGATCTCGAGAATCATGTTGTTTGAACCACATGACACGAAAAAAGATTCGTTCATTTTGATGAACGAGTTTGTATAGGAGAGTCACGAACACGCATCACAGAACAGAGCAAGACGACTATTTGAGCTTATAAAACTTAAACTTTGTTATATATATTTTTTTTTAAATGAGCAATCGTTTTGCTTGATAAGACCCTTATTCATAGTCTGGAACCGTTTAAAGCCCTTTCAACGGTTTGCAGTTTGAACTGAAAGTGTCTTTTGGACCTTAAACCGTTTGGTTCCCATTGAAGTCCATTATATGGAGAAAAATCCTGGAATGTTTTCATCAAAAACCTTAATTTTTGCCTTTTTGCAGTTTTTAAAAATGGGTTTCAGAGACCGTTATCGTCTCTATGTTAACAACAAAACACAAATTTATGAAACTGGTGGCGTCATGCGTATTGCATGTTCAGTCTGTAGGTGCTTAATATTTCTTTACAAAGTGGCATCGCCAACTACTGGCTTGGCAGCAGAATACAGCGTTTTTAGTTAGATATTAAACTGAAACAAAAATATATAAAAACTAGACTTATTAAAAGTTTTTAAATAAAAAAATAATTAAATAATAATAAATAATACAAATGAAAAAAAATTGCAACAACTTTACATTTTAAATGAAAAATTCTGATTTTAATTAGACCAATCAACCTTTTTATGTAAAAAAAATAAATAAATATGACCCCTCTTGAAGAAAAAAATTAGATGAATTAGATGAAATTTATTTGCTGGTCTGAGGAAATCATATGGGTTTGAAACGACCCAAAGGTAAATGTTGAGAGAATATTCATTTTTGTGGAGCAAAGTATTCTTTTATGACAACAAAACCACGTCTATTGTTTACAAAAGATTTTCTGAAAAAGAAAGAATGCAGCTGTTGAGTCACAATACATCATTAAAAATGGCAAATCATTACAGATTAATTTGTTAACACTTTAAATGGGTTTTCTGCATTGGAAGAAATTATTCCCAGCAGTCCTGCACATTTTTGTCAAATGTACGAGATCATACAAACTGCATACAGTGTTTGTGATTTCACACACACTCAATCAATTTCTGCACTCCAATTGGTTATTCATTAGATGGGTCTCGTAGGAGGAATGTGAACCAAAATCACATTGCCAGATAAGATTCATCGCAAAGACAATTTATCAGCCAGTTACGTGTTCCAAGACAACAGATTTTGCCTTAAGATGAAATAAATCTCACAAAACTTGCAAATTTTGTCTTAGGCAAAAAAAAAAAAAAAACAGTGTTGAAAATAAAACTCGGCTTTAAGCAAAAGTTTGCTCTCATTAATGCACAGAAGAAACAGCTGAGGTATTAAAGAAATCTCCTTTGTGATCTTTCTCTCGCTACTTCTCCCAACCATATTCTCCAGAAAACTTTACAAACACGAACAAGGGTGAAGCAAAGTGAGTGATGAAGTTTCAGGGAGGAAGACGGTGTGCCGGGGCAAATGAAGAGCAGAGGAGGGAGAAGAAAGGACACGAGAAACGGCGGATGAAAGGAAAAGAACAGGATAAGCATGAGGGAGGAAGTGAGAATGAGAGACAAGTCATGAAAGATTTACATCATCAGGAACTGACAGAGGAACACCAGCAGCATCAGATGCATGCAAGAGAGAGAGAGAGAGAGAGAGAGGAATGGATAATTCAAAAACAACCCCATGTTCATGCATGAGCAGAAGCCACACACATGCATATGACTATACATTTGGATTGGAGGCGCACGCTATTCTGTGTCACTCTTAATATCTGGATCTGTAATTGAACAGGAGAAGATAAAATGCCATGAAATAAACAGATGAACCCCTCGTCTTCTCTCAATGTGCATCACTTCCTCTGTCAAAGAACTCAAATATCACTTCATGAATATCTAAATGAATTTGGAGCAGCAAGGGTAAACATGTTTAACTCTTCATTCATAATGAAAGGGTTAAAACATCAGTGTCTGATTGTACATGCGTTTTTTTGCTCAAAATGTTTGAAAAATTTAATCATTTTCTCACCCTAATGTAATTCCAGATATGTATTTTATGCTATGATACACTCAAAAAAAATAACTTTTTAAATGAACATAAAAAAAATCATGCAAAAGTTTTCCACGTAATTAACTTGCTTTATTTCAGCATTATGCAATTCTGTTATTCCAGCTGAATGTACTTACAGTATGTTGAGTCAACTTAATGTACTAAGGTTGATTCAGCTTATTTACTATGGTTGGGCACAGCTTAATTTAATATAAGCTGTGCCCAACTAATAATTGCAATGTAATTGAACATTAAACACAAAATTTTTCTGCAGTAAACTAGTGAATTTTCCCAAGTTATATTCAGAGATGATAAACAAGATGTTATAGAATAATAATTTAATAAAAAAACAAATTTTGACAAAAAACTGACATTCAATCTATTACTGAAAACGTACCAGCGTGACATCCGACGGGTTTTCCCAGATCGCATCACATATATACTGTATAATAAATGCTGTTTTGAACTTTCTATTCATCAAACAATTGATAATAATAAGTAATGTCCCATGGACTGCATCACAGGAGTAAATGACATTTTAAAGGGACACTCCACCCATTTCATTAAGAATAGTCGTGCAACACACTCTCATTTTCCCCTGAGATGAGAAAAATACGCTATTTACCTTTTTCACTTCCTCCTACAATGATGCAAAATTGTCATTTTACGCCATATAAGAGGATTTCTGTAAAGACTACAAGCACTAGTTCCCACCCTTTCAAACCCGCCCATAGGGGGTTGGGCCGAATATGCTAACAGACCAATCACAGATCAGTGCCAGTGCGTCCGATTTCACCGGCAGAAACTTTTTGAAAATATGGACGAAGGTACTGAATACGCAGACGGATGCATTATGGATAGGGTTGGGTACCGAAACGTGCCAATAGGGAACTGGTTCCGTTGTAAACGGTAATAGAACGAATAAGGACGAAAATTTCGGAAGATACCGAAGACAAAATGCTCCAAGGTTTGGCTGCATTTCATGTGTAAAATTACGCGTCAGAGTAAGTGTGCCGATTGTCTGAAGCCCATAGAATCACGCCAATCCATTGGCTGCTGGCGCGGGTGCCGCCTTGACGATCATACATCGTCATATTATATTAGCGCGCATTATCTGATTTCATTGTGCGAAATGATTTCCAGGCGGTAGCGTAGAGTGGAGCTCAACTCTATTCTACATTGATGGGCGGAGTAGTGGGAGTGGCCTGCGGAGCTGAGTCATTTTCTGCCTTTTATCGGCCAAGAAGGACCCAAATTAGAAATTTATGATACTATTCTACATATTTGACCCACTTTCAATACATATTCATGTCTCCACCGGTGGAATTACCCTTTAAACTATATTTAAAGAGAAAACACTTGTTTTGATATGTAATAATGTTTCACAAGATTACTGTTTTTACTATATAAATAAATGCAGCCTTGGTGAGCATAAGAATCTACATTCTACCAAAAATCGTACCGACCCCAAACGATAAGCATTCAGTTCCCAACCCAGATCTTTAATCACTAGGCTAAGGCCATTGGGGACATGGGGGAAAAAAAGGACACAGCTGGTGGGATCACACTGATACATTCCTCACAACTTCGTCTGAAACAATCTTTGAAATCACACAGCTATAGAACTTTTCAGCGGTCATGATGTACAGTTTTCTGTCCGATTGACTGAGGTATTGAAAGAGAACGACGCTGAGATTGTGCTGTGAATGAAG